GTTACTCTGGCCAAAATGTAGTGCAGCTCAGTGGTAGAGTGGTGAAATGAGCACACACACGAGCTGTGACCCACGCTGTGTAAGAGGTGCACATGTGGGTGTGACTAACAGCTATGGCAAATCATTTGGGGCCAGCTCCATCAAAGGTACTCTGCTAGAGGATGCAGCTTTAGCACAGCACTCCCAGTCACTGCATATTATTGTGCTCCCTGGGCCCTCACCAGGACTTGCACCTCACCTGTTTCTGCAAATGCAGCAGGACTCTGAGGTTTGGAATGAGGTTTTTGCTGCCTCCTCACTTCGTCTCAGAGGTTCCTGAAGCCTTTTTCTGCTCTGCACAGCTTTTTCATAGATGGGCTGGGAGCTGGTGGTAGCTGTAGCAGAGGCCCACACAACCCTTCTCCTCCTGGAGATGGCTGGTCCAGAGGCAGCAGGGAACAGGCCTGGCCTTAGGATGGCCTTCTGCAAGGAGCTGCATGGCTATTCCTGAAGACACACCTGCCTCCAAAGCCCATCCTGTATCAGCAGGCAGGGTTGTGACCCTCCTCAAACCAGTTCAGTTTCTCTTTTTTGCAGCCTTGTTTAATACTCTAGGTTAACTTCCTCATGCTGAGGAAAATGAAATGTTTCCTTTCTATGTGCTCTTTAGCTGCCTGCTGAGTAATTTACAGCTCAGGAAAAGATTAACTTCCAGCTATACCCTTCATTGTGTTTTGTGTCAGGCTTTGTTCTTACCTTCCCTGCTGCCCCAGCCTCATTTGCTGCTCTGCTCATGATAAGGCAGAGGATGGAGTGATGCCCAGGGAGGGCCTGGAGGTCACTGTAGGATGGGAACAGTTATGATCTCAAAGACTTAAGTCTAGTAGAAGTCACTGAAGTCCCAAGGAATTCAGCTTTTTAGGGGCAAGTCTTGTTTTCATCACAAGCACAACCTAGAAGAGCTACAGCAGTAGCTTTGTCTATCTACTAGTTGTGCATCAGTCCCAACAGCCACTTCACTTGCGAAACATCCAAAACACTCAGAGCAGTTTTGATATAATTTATTTGTCTTGGTCTTTTTTTTTCTTGCATAGGCATAAATTACAATCTGTTGATTAAAAAATAAAAGGAACAAAACAGTGCAGCATTTGCAACAGACTACAGCATCAAATACAAACTCCTGCCTGGAACCATCTGTTTCTGCAGGGCTAATTCATAACGTGTGTGTAGGGCAAACTGAGGAGGAAGGAGAATAGAGGAGGGAAATGGAGTAAATAAGGGAAATCTGCTCCCACAGATGTTCTGCATTTCTTCTGCCTAACCAGGCTCATCTGCATCAGCTCTAGGATTCAATATCCCTGGGCAGAGATGGATATGCTGAAGCAGCAGTTTTATGTGCCCTCTTTTCTTTTGCTGCTCTGGGAAGCGTTGCAGAAATCCTGCAAGCTGCTGCTGGAGAGGCAGCTGCCTGGGCACTCGGTGCAGATGCTCAGGCTGCAGCCCAGTACCAATGCTGAATTTGGGGGCTGGAAACCCACAAGTAACCTCAGCATATGTTCTTGGGGATCCTCACACAGACAGCATGGCAAGGCCTCTAAAACCAGCTACAGGAAAGCATAAAGCCCCAGGCTGTGCTCCCACTGGTGGCTCCAGGGGGTTTACCTCAGAACAGCAGAGACTTTTTCCTCCCAAGCACAGGGTGAGCTTGAACTGTAAGGCAAAGTGCTCCCTAACCCAGAGCCAGCAGCTGACACCCCCTTGAAAGGAGCAGAGACCTCACTCCAACTTTCTTCTCAG